TAGTTTTGGCATGTCAATATTTGCTAGGAAAAGGTCCATTTCTGTCAAGTTCTCAAACTTATTAGCATAAAGTTTTGAGAAGTATTCCCTTATAATGTAAAGAACCAGCTTTTTGTTTTATTAATTTTATTTATAATTTTCCTATTCTCTAATTAATTTCTGCTCTTAATTTGATTATCTGGCTATGTCGAGTAACTTTAGATTCCATTTTTTTCATGTCTTTTAGCTGTTTTAATTGCAACATGAGATTATTTACTTGATCTGTCTCTACTTTCTTGATGTGGGCACTGAGGGTAATAAATTTGCCCCTCAGGACTACTTTTGCTGTGTCCCACAAGTTTCTTGGTGATGTGTCTTCCTTTTCATTGAATTTTAGGAAATTTTTAATTTTTTCTCTAATTTCTTCAGTTACCCAGCTATTTGAGTAATTTCTGCAGTATGTTTTGTTATTGAGAACTACCTTGATTCCACTGTGGTCAGATAGGATACAACAGATTATGTCAATCCCCTTGTATTTGCTTAAGTTCCTTGCATGAACTATGATATGGTCTATTTGGACAAAGTTCCATGAGCTGCTGAGAAGAATGAGTACTGTGTTGTTTTAGGGTGAAATACTCGGTAGATGTCAGTTAATTCCGCTTGAAGTATGGCCTCACTTAATTCGGGAGCTTCTTTGCCAATCCTCTGGTTGGTAGACCTGTCCTTTGGTGAGAGTGGGGTATTAAAGTCTCCTAGTATTATTGTATTTGGATCTATTCTATTCTGTAAGTTTGAAAGTATGTGCTTAACAAATTTGGGTGCTCCAATATTTGGGGAGTATAAGTTGATGAGGGTAATAGCCTCCTCTTGGATTATTCCCTATTAATAGGTAGTGCCCTTCCTTGTTTTTTGTATTTATTTTATTTTTTGTATTTTTATTTTTTTGTGGTCCAGTCATGGGGCCTGAACTCTGGGCCTGGGCGCTGTCCCTCAGCTCTTCAGCTTAAGGCTAGCACTCTACCACTTGAGCCACAGTGCCACTGCCGGCTTTTTTCCTTTTGCTTATGTGGGGCTGAGGAATCGAACCCAGGGCCTCGAGCATGCAAGGCAAGCGCTCTACCACTGAGCCACCTTCCCAGCCCCTTTTGTATTTATTTTAATAAAAAGTTTATTTTGTCAGATATCAAGATAGCGACTCACAAGATAGCGACTCCTGCTTTCTTATTGGGGGCATTTGATTGGTAGATCCTTTTCCAACCCTTCACTCTGAGTTTGTTTGTATGTTTAGCTGAGAGGTGGGTCTCCTGAAGGCAACAGATGGATGGGTCATGTTTTCTGATCCAATCTGCAGTTATTTTTCTTTTGATTGGTGAATTAAGCCCATTAATATTAAGAGATAGTATAGAGAGATGCATTGTGGTCCCTGTCATTCCCTGTTTTTCTTCTTTCCTTTCTTCCTGTGCTTACTAAGTTAGACTTCTACTAATACCTGTCTGGTGCAGGTCCCCATTCCTGGTTTCTTTCTTCAGGTTGTGTTCCCCCTCTTATATTCTTTGTAATGCTGCCTTATTGTTTATGAATTCCTTTAATTTTTCTTTCCTATTAAAAATGTTCATTTTGGGCTGGGAAGGTGGCTCAGTGGTAGAATGCTTTTCTTGCATGCATGAGGCCCTGGGTTCGA